AACTTCAAATGGTTGGACAGAACTGTAGGAATCGGTTCATGTTCATGAAACAGTTCTTGAAACAATGAGCTCAGTTTGAACTAAAATCTCCTGGTTCTCCTGATTGATTGTTCACAAACCTCCCATCGTACTTCGCTGCTCCTGGGCGGAGCCATCATTGACGGGGGCGGAGTCTCCATCCATCTTCGCTCCTGCAGAGATCAGGTGGAAAACTATGAGGAACCCGCAGATATCAACAAAACATATGAGGTGCCGTTTATAAAGTTACACAATATAAAAATTAACAGGAATATTTCTGACTTATTTAGCCTGTCATAGAAAAAAAAGTGGGTTTATTTTTCAGTAATAATGTTATTCATACATTTATAAATATATGAATGACACATTTATTATGGGTAATGATAAATATGAGTTCTATACTAAATATTTAATACATAGTTCCCACAAGTCTGAACCGGAAGTGATCCGCACTATCTAAGTAAGCAAGCGCATGCGCATAGCATAGCGGACTCATGGCTTAGAGATCAACAAAAATATGTGGGCACTCTTAGCGGTGTTCGAGACAAAGATACATTCACTTCTGTCGGAATCGACCCGTATGAGACGGGGAATGAAAATATGTCAGACGATGTGGACAAGCTGCCTCCGATCTTACTACGTTATAGTTACCTAGTGAAAATGAAGAGTGCGCAGACCATGGAGGGGCTTCGCAGCCTGAAATCTATGGACGCATACAGTTAGGGTTGAAAAGGATTTGTAAAGGACGTACGGACTTTTCATGTGAATATCACAGCTCTGGTGACTGGCAGAGTAAATACATGTAGTAGCATACACGTAGGCTACATGTCCGTCTTAGCTTGCAGATAAAAGCTACATTAATTAAACTAATTTTGCTAGTTTGGCAGTAAGTACTACAGTAAATATCACTTAGCACCACACAGACATGGGTAGAACACTCAAAAACTGTAATTGAGTAATATTTGTAATGTACTTATATTGTTCATAAGAACATTATATAAGTACATTACAACTAGTTCCAGGCTTGTGGCTTGTTTATTGTTGCCATAGTAACTGCCTGCCAAGATAGCTGTCAGTTACGGGTGTGTGACGTCACATAGGGTAAGGAAAGTTGAGGTAATTTTATTTATACAGCACATTTTCAGCAACAAGGCAATTCAAAGTGCTCTACATGAATTAAAAGGAAATACATAAGGCCTATATATTAACAAGGTAGTTTACAAACCAATATTTAGTTCAAAATTAAATATTTAGCATTTCACATATTAATTTTGCTAACTAAATATTGAGCCCTAAATTTTATATATATATATATATATATATATATATATATATATATATATATATATATATATATATATATATATATATATATATTTTTTTTTTTTTTTTTTTTTTTTTTTTAACTAAATATTTTGTTCCAAACTAAATATTTAATTTCTTATCTAAGCACTTAATTTTCAAACTAAATATTTAACTTCCTAAGTGAATATTTAGGTTGCTAAATATTTAGAAATATTCAAATTAGCCTGCCGATAAGCGGAGGTGGAATATCAAAATAAAAGCTGGGTTTTACGACCTCTATATAAATCCCGCCGCTGGCCGCATTGAATCGCTTCATTCGTCGCTCCATTTCCGGGTTTTCTTATATATGCAATTGATTCTTTTGTTCTTGACATGTCCAACTTGAAAACTAGGACGTGCCGTTTTAGGTGCTATCTAAATGTTTATTCATGTCTCTATAGCAACAGTTTCTGCATCAGTATACAGCGCTGCTCAAGCCAGAACACTTCCGGTTCATGTTGGTCACGTTTAGAGCTTCTAAGAACGTTTTCACACAATCAATATATTGATTCATTTTCATATAAAAAAATTTGTTTTACGAATGAATAAATAAGAAGTCTTACAGTTCGATAGCCGCTGTTAACCGCAAGTATTTAGGCTTGATCGCAGTAATGAATCTTGATACAGAAACTGTTGTTAAGGCATGACTGTTACAACTGCAATGTTTTCAAAGTAACACGTTGGACATATCCGGAGGAAAAAAGTCGATGAATAAAAAAAACAAACAAAAAAAATTACTTGAGCAACGATTCCTCAAGACCCAGCTTTTATGATATTCCTCTTCCCTTCTCCGCAAGCTGCATATTTAGGTAATATTCGTAAGATATTTAGTTGCAAATTAAATATTTACTTTAATTCCCCATTTAATTAGTTAGAGAATTAGGTGTTTAGTTTGGAACTTTTATGTTTATAAATGTATGAATATACGAGTTTTTCTTTCTCTATGACAAGCTAAATAAAAATATATTGCTCTAAATTTCTTACTGTGTAACTCTGCAAACATCAGAACCACGTTTACTGCTGGATCTCTGACCCAGTTCGTTCAGGGTCTAGTCAGAATCGGTCCATTGATTTATCCGTCGATTTCAATTTGAATTTAGTCTCCAGAACTTCACAGAAATATTTTCCAACTGGACCGACCGTGTTTGATACCCTCCCCCCTCCAACACACAACAGAACCCTAATTTCATTCGGACTAAAGAAACAGGGTCACGGTTCTGTTTCGTTCCGGACTTTCCGGTTTTCTGAACTCGGTACCTGGCCCGTGTAACTGTAGGTAACAGTCACGTGATCCGATCTGATTACCCAATTGCCTGATTAAGCATAGTTACAATGAAGCACCGAGTCCAGAACCAGACGGACTCAGACTCATAAGAATGAATACGAACCGAACCGAACCGGCCCGGGCCGAGGGCCAGGAGAACATGTGGAGGAGTTGATGGGCGGAGGAGGCCTCACTGAGCATGCTCACAACCGCTTCCATCATGATGCAGCAGTCCAACATAAAGTCCGGTCCGGTTCGGTTCGTTTCACCTCCTCAGTATCTCTTCAGCGGCTCCTCCTGTCTGCGCCTGATCGACCTCTTCCCTGCGACGCGCAGAGCCGCGAGGCTGCAGCAGCTGCGGAGCCGAGCACCCCTCCTCTGCTGCGGCCTGCGGAGCTCCGAACCTCCCGGAGGAAGAGGAGAAGGAGGAAGACGAGGAGGAGCAGCTGAACAGGAGGAAGATGAAGGAGAGATGGAGGAGAGAAGGAGGTGCGGGCCTTACCTCCTGCTGCTGCTGCGGCTGCTGCTGCGGTCCGTCTGCTGCTCCACCCTGCTGCCGCTCCAAGGAAGAAGGGAGGGGTCGCTGTTACCATAGCAACCACGCAGCATCACTAAGGCACATGTTTCCGAGGAAGTGATGTCATCAGAGGACCAACTCCATTTCCTCTGATATGTTTCTGTCCTGAGCAACTGTAGAAGAGTTCGGACCAGGAACCCAAGAGATTGGAGAACCATCAGCCCATTGGAGAACCATCAGCTGATTGGAGAACCTTCAGCCGACTGGAGAACCATCAGCTTATTGGAGAACCATCAGCTGATTGGAGAACCATCAACTGATTGGAGAACCATCAGCTGATTGGAGAACGTTCAGCCGACTGGAGAACCATCAGCCCATTGGAGAACCATCAGCTAATTGGAGAACCTTCAGCCCATTGGAGAACCATCAGGTGATTGAAGAACCATCAGCTGATTGGAGAACCTTCAGCCGACTGGAGAACCATCAGCCCATTGGAGAACCATCAGCCCATTGGAGAACCATCAGCCCATTGGAGAACCATCAGCTAATTGGAGAACCATCAGCCTATTGGAGAACCATCAGCTAATTGGAGAACCTTCAGCCCATTGGAGAACCATCAGGTGATTGGAGAACCTTCAGCCGACTGGAGAACCATCAGCCCATTGGAGAACCATCAGGTGATTGAAGAACCCTCACCTGATTGGAGAACCTTCAGTCAAATGGAAGAATCATCAACCAACTGGAGAACAATCAGTCGACATTCAAATCAATATGGACTGATGGTCTCCAGTCAACATTCAGCTGACTGGAAAACCTTGAAATAACTTTTTTATATATTGGAATATATTTCTTGATTATTTATTGCTTCTCCCTGCTGAATAGTTTTAGATTTTGAGGTCCATCCGGTCGCATCGTCATGGTAACCCCATCATCTGTCTGTTGTTCTCCACTGTGACTTCTGAGACCCAGTAAAAACAAAATAGAGACCGAGCTGCATTCTGATTGTGTCCACCAGGTGTCAGTGTTACCCTGAGGAACAGAGCCGCTGTATAAGATATGAACATATCTGATCTATTTCATTCAATAATTCTTTCTTACACTGACAGGAACACAGCATTTGACTACTTTGTATTATAAATTAGCCTTCAGTTTTAAATTTGAGATGAGATTGATTGTATCTATAGTAATGTGGCGTATTCAGGAATTTGAATTAATACGAGTTACGTTTAATTTTCCTTTGGGATCAGTAAAGTGTTGTTTTTTTTTTTATTTATTTGAATAGTATTGTGGAAATTTAAACTGAATTAAGGTCTTGTAATTGGTTAGCTGCCAGAGACCAAAGCTACACTGCAAAAACACAAAATCGTAGGATGTTGTTTTTATACAGTTTCTAGAGCAAATGTCTTGACTATTAAAATTAAGAGAAAATTAACGTACATGTAACTTTTTAGCAAGGTGTAGAATCTTGTTTTTAGTAAATAATTCCATAATATATATTTAAAAAAACTACTAGTTTCACTGGCAGATTATTTCACCTAAACAGGTTAAAGTAAGATATTTTTCCTATTTTATAAGTGAAAAAATCTGCCAGTAAAACTAATACTTTTTAAATCAATATTGACTTAAAATAAGATGAAAAGTAAGTTAGTTTTGTCTTTTTTCAAGTGTAGATATTGGCACTAAAAACTAGATTACAAATACTTGGCAAGATTTAGTGTTTTTACAGTGTTATTCATTGGCTGTTAATCTGAGACAATCTCAGATTAACGAATGTGTTGTTTTAAAATTTGCATGATAAGCTCCACCTGAGCTGATTGTTGCTGTGGTTGCAGGTGAACGAATCAAACACTGCCCAAATATCATTAGAAGGAGTTTAATCTGACATGAACAACATAAAATTTATACAGTAATTGCAGCAGCTTTCAATCAATCAATCAATCAATCAATCAATCAATCAATCAATCAGTCATTAGCTTGATAATCACTCACATTTTTAGGCACAGGAACAGAGTTCAGAAAAAAGGAGGAAGAGAAGCAGTTTTCATCCTGAGTTTTTTTTTCTAGACACCTACTGACTAAGGTTACTATGGTTACTACCAGTTTTCTCAGGACCGACCAGAACTGGGTCTGGTTAGTTTATCGACTAATTGACTCAACTGAGCCCAGACGTGCAAAAATATCATACAGTTTATCAGAACAAAACGGGATGTAAACAGAGTTGATGAACAAAGTGCAAAAACTACGATGGCCATGTAATCGTGTAAAGAGCTGGGTGGTTACATCAAAATACAGAATATAACAGCAATATTACTGTAATAATAAAGTAATATTACTGTAATAATAAAGTAATATCGCTGTAATTACACATTATTAACAAAATAACACTCATATCTCTATAATACCTCAGTAGTATCACTGTAATGTCAATATTACTGCAAGGAAAACAAATCTGACAAGTTGAACAAAGTGCAAAAACGATCAAAAAAATTCAACTCATGGTAGCACTGTAAAACTGAAAATTACTATAATAACTGCGGACACTGAAGTAATGCTGCAACGTTACAATCGTAATACTGTACTATTACTGTTATGGGTGTAGTAACACTGCAATAATAATAATAGTGCATTCCACAGTGTGATGAAGGATTATTGGTACCAGAATATTAATCTCTGGATGAAGATTTGGGAACACAGGAAGTGCAGTGACATCACATCCTGCAGGACAAATAAGACAAGTAGATACAAAACCTGAGAGGGAATCTGAATCTGTAAAACTGACTGTTGGGTCAGTTCTGGTTCTGGACTAAACTTTTGGCCTTGAGCCTCCCGCTTGGAGGTGCGGTGCTGAGCCTCCATTTCCTGGTTCCAGCGGATCATTCAGGTTCATGGAGATAAATCAAACGGAACGCCCGTGTTAGCCATGGCCCACCGGGTTCACAGGTCCGACAGCCGCTGACCTTATCCCCAGAGCTCCTCAGCGCCTGGACGGCGACAGGAAACAATGAAGAGCTGGATTTTATCAGCAGGAAACAGAGCGGTGAAGAGGAGGAGGAGAAGACATGATTCTAGGTCAAGGGTGTTCAAAGTAGGGACCGGGGGCCATTTGTGTCCCCTGGACTGAATTTGTGCGGCCCGCCTGGTCACGATTTTTTATTTTTATTTTTTCTTCAAATTACTCCTTTCCATTGAAGACTTATATGTGTGTTAAAATATGTCCATTTTAAACTGTAAAGTGAATGAAATACAAATATATAATGATAGAAAGAATAAATTAGATAAATAAAATTTTTTAATTAAAATCTACTTACAAAATAAATGCTAGATGCAACACATTTTTTCCCATGCTTTGTTGTCATGGTAACTAAGACAACATCTGCTCATTGACTTGCAATCTAACGTACACCAAGCCTGGTTTTAATTGCTGTATTAAACGTGGCTAAAAACACAAGTGTTTAAAAAAATTATCCTGTTTTATTGCTGACAAAAGATGAATTATTTTTCCAGTTTTTTTTTCATTCAAGTCCAGAATAATAAATTTTGGATCTACAATCCTATTCCCATTACAAAAACAAAAATATGATTGTTAAATTAAAATAGCCGATGGTAAGTTATGGTTTAGTAGCTAAAAAAACGGAAAGTTTTTTTTGGTGATTTTAGTTTTTAAAAATGATATTTGAGTATTTTTGAGCTGACGATTTTGGCCCATGTGACGAAATGTTTGGACACCCCTGTTCCAGATGTTCAGTTAGTTTTAGCCACAATGATTTCAGGTAAGATTCAAATGTGGAACATCTCCTTGTTTATGAATATCAAGGTTGGAAACATGTTTGACCCCCAGAATGATTCCCGACCATCAGAACCTAACAAAACCTTTAGAAGTTTGTGCTTTGATGTGGCAGAACAGAACCAAGCTCAGCATGATCCTCAACAGCGACATAAACCAAAGAACCAGGCTTCACATGTTCAGCAGCACCCCCTGCTGGCCCGCAGGAGAAAAAGCTGGTGATTACTATTATACACACACCTGATCAATAAATACATGAACATAGCTGCCTGGTGCGTCATGTGACCCGTTAAAAGCAGCTGAGTCATCGAGTCCAACGATTGGTCAGCTTGTTAGCCAATCAGAGTCCGGACTGACAGTTTTCCTTCTGATTGGCCTTCTGATTGGCCTTTCAGACGCGTGTCCTGCGCTGTGATTGGTCCAATCCAGGTGACTGATTGGTGACGGGTCACATCAGAGGCTGTGATTGGACGAGGCGGCGTGTCAGAGGTTGGAGGACTGTTTGATGCTGTGGAAGGATACCCTGCTGGGCGACGTGGGCAGCGACGTGGCGCGGATCGTCCGGCTGCGGATGGAGTGACGATCGTGCCAACGTATCCAACGCTTCTTCACTGTGGAGCGCACCTGGAAGCAGACAGACAGGTGGACAGGTAAATCACACGATCACACTCAGAACCACGTGATGCTCACCACATAACTCCTGGGTTAGTTTCAGGATTTAGTAGTAACTAGTTACTTTTACTCAATTATATCTATTGGGTAACTTTTAAAAAAAGAAAGAATTATTATGATTAGCAATTTTATTATGAGGTATTTTTACTCTTACTTGAGTAAAATTTCTATATTTTCTACCCACTGAATGGAAGACAAAGAAATTCACCAGGCACAGAGACACACCTTCAGTTTCTGTTAAAGTTTCGTAAGTTTTTTTATTCAAAGAAATTGATTTGGGAAAATTTTATTTTTCCTGATCGAGTTACTTTTAGTTACTAATGCGAATTGTCATTTTGGTCCTTAAAATACATCAATTTCCATTTAAATTTATATTTTGGTTCCTCTGATTATGTCATTTTTAAATATTAAATGATTGATAATTTGATCAGCTCAATACTAGATTAGACTTTTTTACTCTTACTTGAGTAATTTCTCAACTGTTACTGTTTACTTTTACTTGAGTACATTTTTTGGGTACTCTACCCAGCTCTGGTTAGTTTAATGTAAATTAAACTGACGTTAACCAGCTTCAGCGTCATTGGGACTGACAATCTTCCAATAACTCAGTTCTATTTTAAGATCAACTAGGGCTAAAATAATGAATTATTTTAGTTATTGATTAATCCAACTTGGGTTTTTTTTTTCAGTTTGTTGCTTTCGTAGTCATTTACTTCCTTTTGCCTTGCTCTCTGGAATGAGTTTGTTTTCATTTGAGTTGGGAAAACTTATGCGGGTGGAAAGTTATCCTGAATTACCTCACTGTTGAGGAAACAGTAGAAGACGGAGACGAAGAAGCCCTGCAGAGACAAACAGAGGGACATTAGCTCAGATAAACAGACTGCTGTTCATACAGTTTGATCAACAGAAACTGGTCATGATCTGACAGGAAACTATTGAACTTCATGCTTCTGAACGAAGGAACTACCCAGCTCCACTTAACACCACATTCCCTCTTAAACTTTGACCCAATCTGTTTAATGTTGGTCTCAGGTTGTCATTCACAATGACAGGGGTGTCAAACTCCAGTCCTCAAGGGCCGCTGTCCTGCAGTGTTTAGATGTGCCACAGGTAAAAAACAGTGGAATGAAATGGCTTAATTACCTCCTCCCTGTGTAGATCGGTTCTCCTGAGCCTTGCTAATGACCTAATTATTCTTTTCAGGTGTGGTGCAGCAGAGGCACATCTAAAAGTTGCAGGACAGAGGCCCTTGAGGACTGGTTAATGGCTCTGGAGAACTTCCAGATGTTGCTGCATCAGTTCATCCTGACCAGAACCAGGAATACGGACCGACACAGAAGAGGCTGCTTCCTGGAGGATGTTTGGCTGCAGCCTCAGATTTTGAATCATTGGAGGAAACTCAACGAACCTGGAAAGACTCCAGGATAGAGTTAAAGTAAATGAAGACGATCTGAGCCACTTCGTCTTCTCCTCCTGGATTCACAAAGAAAAGCATGTAGGTGATTCCCAGCAGAGGCAGCAGCACCAGTGTGGCCTTCACCGCCTTCCTGCAGGGCACAGGAGAAGACAACTGCATTCACTGGACATGTTCAGCTGCATTCACTGGACATGTTCAGCTGCATTCACTGGACATGTTCAGCTGCATTCACTGGACATGTTCAACATATTCCCTGGAGTTATTAAACTGCATTCACTAAAAATATGTTCATTACATTCTAGTTTCACTGAAAAAATGCATCTGGGCTCACTAGAAATATTGTGATCTAATTGGAAATATTTATTTGCATTTGCTGGAAATTCTCTGCTGGTTCCATTGTAAATATTTAAGTGGACTGAGTGGAAACGTTCTACTGGACTTCTGGTTTCACTGGAAATATTCTTTTCTTCAATATATTCCATTGGAGCCACTGATAAGCCCCACCTGTGGGATGTTTGTTCATACCTGTATTGGATGGTCTCTGAGGTGGTCGACGCCCTCAGTTTGGTCATCAGAATCCGAACGATGTTAAACAGGAAGACGAAGTTAATCTGAAGAGAAACCAGGATGTTTGGACTTTATAGAAGATCTGCTGTAAATATGAATGTGATTTGATATTCTGTGAGGGAAGGGTGACAGTTCAGAAATGTTTTGGGTTTAAGGTAGACTGGAAGGATTAAAAATGCATCGGTGCCATTAAAAGAAGACTTACTGCTTAGGTTAGCTGAGTTTAAGGTGGACTTTACAGATTAAAAGTGAATGTTGGTTGGGTTTAAGGTGGACTGGGTTTGTTCTTACCAGCAGGACCAGGATCATAGGACCTTGGTAGATGTAGTCCGTATAAACACCTGTCTTCTTGCCAAACCAGCACCTGGAATTCAATCACGAGCCAATCAGATGAAGAAGATGCGGTCTTTAAGAAAGTGTGACATCATTACCTATTGATTTTTCTTTATGTTGGCTGCATCAAATCAAAAACTGCTCTTAGCCTGACTGAAAAGTGTTTATTGACATCACAAACAATCAAGCTGCTGTTATGTGACTTCAGACAGGTGTGTTAAATCCACCTGAGGAGAGGCAGAAGATCAAAACAGTTAAGCGACTCACTTCTCGTTGTCGTAGTACAGCTTCCCAAAAGCCCACGCCACGATGATGGGAAACGGAATACCTGGAAGCAGAAAGACAGGTGGACAGGTGAGCTGAGGGCAGACAGGTGTAAAGTCTGACAGGTGTAGAGAGAGATAGGTACACAATCAGTTGGACAAAAATGTGAAGAGGACAGACAGGTAAACAGCCAGACAGGTAAACCGACCCCAGCCGATGCAGATGAACATCCACTTCCTGAGTTTGTCGGTGGAGTAGGTGAGCACCACGGCAGTGTGCAGGTAACATCCTTCCCCAAACATCCAGAAGAAGTTGGTCACATGGAAGTAGTTGTAGGCTGCAGTCACCAACCTGCACCACGCCTGAGGAGGAAGAAGAGGATGAGGAAGATAAGGAAGGTTCTTTTCCATTTTCAAAATGGCTGCCATGGTTGTAGTGGAGGGTATATGTTTACACTAAAATCGGCAGCAGCTATTAGCCACAGCCAACCAAAAACTTAGGTTTACTAGCCGTTAATTTGCTCAACAAGAATCTTAGCAGTCGCTAACGCTAACCATTAAGACGACTGTCTCTCTATTTGCGTCAAACATCTTCATCTTCTCCCAGTTGTCGACTGGTATGAGACTTTCAAACAACAAAGTCCTTAGTTTCAGTTTTGGCATCTGATTTTATGGCAATATTTTGGTTTGAAAGGCTCATAAACTGGCGGCCATCTTGAAAAATGGCCATCATCCTGACATTCAAGTAGAAAATGGGAAATATGAAGAACATCTGACCTGAGTGGAGAGCATACATTTGTATGCTTTCATCCACACTTTTAAGGTTTTTACAGAATGGCTGTCACCTGGTTGCTCTCGGTAACCGATGGGTTCATGGTTAACTGGACGATGAACCAAGTGGCGTTCCTCAGGATGAAGGCTGAGATCAGATTCCAGTGAATGATGTTCCTCAGACAGCGGATGCTCCTGGAACAGACCATCAACCAATCAGGAAATATGCACCTCTGTGTCTTTAAAGAGGTAGTATTATGTGTTTTCCAGGCAAACGGTGTCACTTTATAGCATAATCACGTAACTTTGTTAACTTCAGTTGTCATAAAAAAGCTACATACTTTTACGTCCTAATTTAAAAGCTTTAAATTGGTCCTGTCTCTTTAAAAACTCCTGCTCTTCCTGAAACTCTGTCATCAGGAAGTCATCACAACATGGCTCCTCTATTAACCCTTTAACAACGTTTTTACCAGCGTTGCACTGAGAAGTAGCTACTATAATGAGCTCAGCAGGTACACAGTTCCACCAGGTGTTTGCTAATTGTTTCTGGCTAGTCTGGAGGAACTGAATGGTTGTCATGGAGATTAAAGGATTTCTCAAACATGAGAGAATCAAAGCAATACTCCAGGTATGCTTTAAAAGAGGGAATAACATTATAGCATGATATAACGCAAGATTTTCTATAATAGTGCCCCTTTAAAACACCTGCATCCCCCTGAATATGTGGTTACTGAAGGTTCCAAACTGAATTTCCTGGCTGCTACCAGGTTACCAACGTAACCAACACGCTAACCTAGAGGTGTTAAAAACAGAGAGGTGAGTTACCTGAGTCTCATGAAGAGCATGAAGGCGAGCAGCAGAGCCCCCAGAGAGATGCAGTGACCCAGGTAGTTGATGATCACGGCCACATGATAGTGAACTTTACTCTTCCTCTGAAAACACAGAGACCGTCTTTAACATCAGAGCTGCTCTGAGATCAGATCCTCAGGGTGACTTCATCTGGGTTTTCTGGTTCAGCTCAGATAAAACTGAGCTATTATCATAGCTCAGTTTTATTTTGGTGTGAATTTTTGTTCACCAGCAGGAAGCTTCAGAACCGTCAGATCACATGACTCAGGTCACATGACCCGGAAGATGACTCACTCAGGTACGGCAATAGGGACTCGGTGACCAGCTGTCTCTGACTTATTTCTTGATTAATCAGTAATTTGACTGGCAGGTTATGAATAAAACTGTCTTTTAATTAAACAGGTACTTTGGTCGCTTTAATTAAATAGAGCTGATTAAGACATGAAGTTCTGTCACTGAGTGGCTGTCAGAGCTCATTAACAGAGCTTGAATAAGAAGCTGACTGACAGGATGTGACTGAAACGGATTTCCTCATTAAGTTATCGGCTAATTACAACCGAGTGCCAAATGTAGTGATTAAATTTCTTCCTCTTCGTTTTCTTATTTTAAACAAATTGGATAATTGGGCGCTTTAAATTGCACTTTATCGTATCTCACTGAGAACTACAAAATTGTTTCTTGCACCCACTTCCTGCAACAAACAGGAAGTCAGGCCATTTTGACTTTGTTTTTTTGCTGTTTCAAATGTTTCAGTGAGCTCCTCCTAAAAATGTAAATGTATAATAAACAGAAGATCACAAGCTGGTCACATTTGTTTGCTTCAACAGATAGTTTGTGTGCAACAGCTCATGAAAAATTTGACCTAAGTCGTCGACCCAGCATGCATTGCACATGTGGAAAAATGGCGACCTCCATAGGTGAAAAATATAATAAATACATATAAATTTGGAAGTAATTGTGAATTTTTAAACATATTCCAACCAATAACTTTCAGGTTAGTAATTATTTAGGCCAACATGTTCAACTAGTCATTTATCCCTTTAACTGAACGGCTCACAAACAGCGACCTCAAACTGTTAAACGTAGATTTTGCTAGAGAAACTGCTCAGATTAAAAGCTTTGAGGATCGTCCAATGCTCCATGCAGCTTCAGTTGTCTTCATCAGAACTGATTAAAGTTCTGGATGAGTCACATGATGCTGGTGGATCAGTGTGAAGCATCGTCCCTTTTGTTTGCTTACTTGATTTGACATCAACAGAGAAACTGACTGAAGAACTTTTATACCAGAGAACTGGACAGCAACCGCCTGTAGAAATTAAATCAACTGATCAATACTCAGAAGATACAGATCAGGAGACATTAACCACAGATCAGTGTGAGGTCCCAAAGCCCTCAGACACATGGACGTCTCTGTGAAGTCTTTCCACTTTATTGACCACAGAGCTGTGATTGGCTCACAGCCAGCTCCGCCATCCAATCAGAGGAGAGCAGGAAAAAGGAAACAGATTGCCTCAGTGGGACAGAGAGACGACACATGGACCAATGGACACACCCTGGCTACTCTTTATGTCTCTGTGTGGACACACTGCAGGTTGGGGTCCAGAGGTCGATCCACACCTGGAGTCCATGAAGGAGACATTTAGGTCCCAGCGTAAGGAACGGATATGTCTTCACACACACACACACACACACACACACACACACACACACAGTCTCTATAACACACTGAGTGAATGTCCAGATGGTTTCCTCGTTCCCGCTGACATTTGGATCTCAGCTGCGTTGCCACACTCGTCTCTGATTGGCTCAGACCGTTTCTCCCTCTGTGGGTTTCTGGGTCTGTGTGTGTTCAGATCTGTCTGACAGGATTTCTCCCAACAGAACCAAAAGGTTCTGACGTATTTAGTGACTTAAATTAGCAGAACCAGTTCCAGTCTATAGCTTCATGTCCATTGATCTAAAATTCCAATTGACCTTGTGGAATTAGAATTTGTGCAATTCTGATCGCGAAAACTGGAGTTCCAAAAACACATTCCCTTAATGGAAACAGTCTAATTTGACAAAACTCATGTTTTTCACTAAAAACTGTTTTTAAGCTGTTTCAAAGTAAATGCATTTCGCAAAAGTGCAGTGGAAACACTTTTTTCACATCATACAAGTCATGTGATCAACAACCGGCTGTTACTACTGGCGGAAACGACGAAGAAGACGACAGGAAGTGGATGAAGGTGGTGGATGATGGCGCGGCTTGTTTTTTATTAACTTATCAGGTGAACAAACTCATTCACATGTGATTTTAACTGCATTTGTCATTTAATGAAAACACTTCAATTGTGAAATTGTGTTTTTTCGACATTAGTGAAATATCGACAAAGTTCTAGAAATGCTGCATTTGACCCGGGTTCTGATCCGGTTGAATTCTGACCTTCTGCTCAACCTTAGAAACCAGATCTTCAAACCGAGCCTCATAAACTCATCTGAACTCTTCCACCTGACCTAACTGTGATTTTGAAACAAACCGGATCACTGGACCTGAACTGGACCCGTCTGTTCTGTCCCAGGTCCAAACAGTGACCAAACACTGTTTACCCAGAAATTCAATTCAGCTGCTTGTCCTTGTTTCCTTTCATTGACTTTTCATTGAAATCAGAGAGTCGCCATGGTAACCGGAGACAAAAACATGCCTCAGGATAATTTTTATCAGCATTATCAATGTGATTTTATTAATACAGATTTCCCACCAAGAAGAAGAAGAAGAATATCAGAACCGAACAGAGTTTGATCAGTAATGAAATAAAGTTTGCGTTAGCAAGAGCAGCCGACCTTAAGGTCACAAGCTGTCAAACAGAACAGCAAATGGTACCAAAGAAGCTCAGTTTTGTTTGGTTTTTCACTGCAGACTCTTCAACCAGAACAGCTGAAGGACGAGGATGGAAATCAGAAGAAGTCTTCCTCACTTCCCGGTTATTGGTCACTTTGTGATTGGTGTTTGTATTGATGAGTCTCACCAGGACGATGATCTCGGTGCACTGACTGTAGTTTCCTCGAGGCGCCCAGGTTCCGTTGGACTGGCACTCTCTGTAGACCCGGTCTAAACACAAACAGAACAGAACCGGTTCTAGTTCTCTTTCAGAATCAGCTGTAGTGCAAGCTCTCACCTCTAGGTGGAAGAAAGGCGCTGTTCCCTACTGTTATGTTTGCAGTTTGGTCTGAAACCAACATGGATGAGGATCAACGATGCTACGATGGCGTATTAGGGGCATTGTAGTTGGAAAAAAAAAAAACATTTCCGCCCAAAAATAAAATCTGACATTTTGAAATTACTATCAGAAATTTTCTATAAAAAACAAGAAAATTTCTGAGCTTGAAACTTCAAAAATTTGCTTGAAAAAACTCAGAAATGTCTGAGTTTGAACATGGGAAAATAACTTGTTATAAGTAAAATAATGTTCCAGTGGAACTGGAACTGTTTCCATCAATATAAAGGAATTGACTTAAAACAAGATCCTATACCTTGCTGAAAAGTTACTTTTAAATTAATTTAGTCTTATTTCCAGTGAACTAAGATATTTGAACTACAAACTGACCTAAAATTAATTGGTGATATTTTGTGTTTTTGCAGTTGCATCCTGGGTTCTGCTCTGCACTGTGGCTGTTTTTCTGTGTCCTGTATCCGTTTAGTTTTTTGGTTCTGGGTTCTATTCCTGGTTCCGATCCGGGTTTGTTGTTCTCCTCTGTTCCGCGTCCGGTGTTTTTGAAGTTTTTTGTTCTCACACATCGGCTCCTCACACTCACAGAAACACAGTTTGGTGTTAAACTCCCACACTCCGCTCTGACGAATCAACACACAGCCGTCTGTGTGCAGCTTCTGTAACCACGGCAACTCCAGAACCGTGCCTGACTGGTACCACCCTGATCCAGCCCAGTCAGCCGAGTCGGGGATGGGGTATTGTTCCGATAAATGATCGGCTGCCTGAATCAATAACGTGAGTGACACCTGAGGCAGCAACCAGTCAGAGACCAGCGGCTTGATGACATCAGAGTGGAGAGCTTGAAAGAGAGAGGATGAGGACGGTGGTGGTGATGAAGATGGAGTGAGAGAACTCCAGCTGGGTTCGTACACACACACACACACACACACACACACACACACACACACACACACACACACACACGTGCATGCAGAAACACACAGATGAGTCATTCTTTAAAGTCAGATCAAGAAATAAACCACTAATTAGATGGGATATTCATGGCCACCCACTCATTAACACACACATTAACTCACACGTTAACACACACATTAACTCACACGTTAACACACACATTAACACACACGCTGCTAACACGGTGCACCTCCCCACTGTGCTGATCTGTGAGGAGCCGGCTGGCAGGAAATAAGGAATTGGATCCTCCTCAGCCTGAGATGTTGGTCAGTGAAACTGTAGAGCTTCTGACTGAGGAAACATGGCGGCTCGTTCTCGCCACTTCTCAGTCGGATCGAAGAGTTCTAGAAGAACTTCCTGAAAATCGATTCAGATTCTGATCAGAACCAGAACAAGATGCATTCACACCAGCCCTGTTTAGTTCACTTTAATCAAATTCCAGTTTGTTTGTCTAACGTCCGGTTCGTTTGGGGAACCGTGAACCGGACCAAAAAGTGAACTCTGGTCCGCCTACAAACCTCGGTCTTTGTTTGGTTGACGTTAACGCTGGTTCGGTTTGAATGCATATGTTAATGCCAAGCAGACCAGAGACCGCTCCAAAAGCAGGAAGCAAACGACAGCGCAGGGCATTCTGGGTAAATACAACCAAAAAGAACAATGTTCATTTTACTCAAACATATACTTATAAAAAGTAAAATCAGAAAAACTGATCATTTTAAGTGGTCTCTTAATTTTTCCAGAGCTTTATTTTTTATACAGATTGTCTTAATATCTGCTTTGTGTATGTCGTTCTTTCAGCAAATGACCTTTTTAGAGTCTGTATACTCCAGTTAACTACCAATCTATTACTAAATTAGTTGACAATTACTTGAATAATTGATTAATCAGGATTAATTGAATTAATCGCTTCAGCTCTCGCCGTATCGTTTCAGTATGGAACGATGTTGGACTGAAGGCGTTTCTCCAGGAACTACTGCAGCGGTTCTGTTTCCAGCCTTCCAGTCAGGTGGGTTCTGATCTTCCTGCTGTTATTTTTACTCCACCTGGGGGTGAGCAGAAGTCAGCCTGCAGCGCTCGCAGGCGCTTCTCCCTGCAGCGATGTAGCTGTGGATCAAACTGCAGAACTCCGTGGGCGGATTCTGATGATCCGAGTGTTGGAGTTAGTCATTCATACCAGACTTCTTCATTCACTTGATTTGAATTGTTGTGTTCTGATTTTTGAATCTTCACCTAAAGTTTCGCCTAAACATTTGAAGCACTTGTTGGTGAGGAATGCGCAGCTGTCATCCTTTGAGGTAAACTCTGAGAGAAGAGTTCAGTGAAATATTTTCATATTCTGATTGAATCCTCTGCACTCAATCAGACTCAGATGTAAAGATATTTTACGTGTAGTTCTGTAGTTTCTAACTTGAAGGTCAGTACCAGTAACATTATCCCTAGCATGGGCGTACCACAGGGATGGGTTTTGAGCCCCCTGTTTTACTCAGTCGTAACACTTTCAAAAATGTAGCAAAAACAGAAAGCTGGAGAAAGAAACCAAAAAATGTGTCATACTTCATGCTGTTTCCAACGTTATAGAACAGCAGCATGTTTATGTAGATAACATAATGTACTCTAGACTCCCCCTTGTGGTCTGGAAGATTTCCATTTTGTGGAGCAATTTAGCAACGTTTTATAGTTGCTGTTATTTTTGTTATTTGTTTCCCTTTTGGTTCACAGAATTTTTCTGTTGCATTTCTTTTTTGTGTTTGTGTTTTCACTACAAAATAAGTATTTTTTGTTTAGTTCCTCATGCAAATATCTTAGTACACTAGGATTATGACAAAACTAACTCACAAGTAACTTCTCAGCAAGATAGAGGAACTTGATTTAAATCAGTAATTCTTGTTACAAGTGAAAAAAATCTGCCACTGAAATTAGCACTTTTTAACAATGTTTAAGAATTGTTTTAGAAAATAATCTCCTACATCTTGCTGAAAAGTTACTTTTCAGTTAGTTTTGTGTACTAAGATATTTGCACTTGAAACTAAAAAAAATAATTAGTAAGATTTTGTGTTTTTACAGTGGTGGAGTCTGCATCATTAATGTTTACAGTGCATTTACCTGTTGCTCCCTGTAGGTTTATTGCTTGAATCTCAAGAAGCTTAGCTTTCAAATGAAGCATAGCGTGTTTATGAGCATATTTAATGTACTGCAGTAGTATTATGAATCACACATGGTTTTTCTTTGATCAGCCAGAATATACTGAACCCCAGATGGAGTTTGGTAACCAGGATCCAACTGGTGTGGGTCAGAACTGACGGCGAGTCTGCAGAGAAAACCGAGGATAAAGGAGAATCTGAAATGCTGCAGTAATTCCTGCTGTTTCATCAGGAGTCGGACGGCAGAGGATGGAGGAAAAGAGAAACGGGTGCAGATGGGGGTGGTGGTGAAATGAATGTGTTTTAATGAGGAGGAGGAGGAACAACAATCAGATGGAGGTGTACAAAAGGTGGGAAGATGGAATAATATTTCAATAGTTCTATTACTATTAGAGTCCGGAACTCAGACTCTCCTGTTTCTTGATAATATTGAGTTACTAGCTGAGTCTCCATTGAGTATATAATTGCACAATTTGACATTTTGAAAATAAATGTAAACACAGCAATTTAAAAAAAAACTTTTGTTTTACAATAAAAAGGACGTTGCAGGTTTTGTTGGCTGTATCGAAACTGGTTCACTGGAAAAACATAAAATCTTACCAGACAGTTTGGTCTAGTTTCTAGTTCAAATATCGTCGAACTCTTGAAATACAACGATATTAACTTACAATCCAAGTTTCGGCAAGATTGTTTTAAGTCAATAATCCCTTAATATTGAAGAAAAAGTTCTGGTTTCACTGGCAAATTTTTCACTTTTAACATGTTTCTATTGTAGTTTTGTGAAATAAACTCTGCAAAAACACAAAATCTTACCAAGAAATTATGGTCTACTTTCTAGTGTAAATATCTTATTTCACTTTAATTAAGACAAAACAAATTTATAAGTAAGGTGATGAAAAAGTTCTAGTTCCATTAGCAAATTATTTCACTTATAACAAAACATGTTTTTCATGTTGTAAGTGAAATAATCTGTCAATATTACTAGAACTTTTCCGTCAGTGTTAAGGAATTATTTACTTAATCCAAGCTCTTATGACTTGCTGTAAAGTTACTTATAAATTAATTTGCTGCACTAGAAACTAGACCAAACATATTTGGTAAGATTTTGCATTTTTGCATTGAGTACTATGTATTACTGTGTAGTACTCTGCTGGTCCTCTACTGGTTCTCTACTGGTCCTCTGCTGGTACTTACTGGTGGTGTTGTAGTGGATGCCATTGAACTGCTCTGGACAGGGTCGGGAGATCAGCTCTCCAGCTGCGCTGCGAGGCCAGCAGGTCCCGATGCCGTCCACCGACAGGTCACAGTACACACCTGCAGACAGATGACAGAGTCAGGCCCTAACGGCTGAAATCCTGTTCTGATCCAGTCTGAGGCGGCAGCCATGGTCGTCAAGAAAAAATTATTTTTGCACTGAATTTATCAGAGATGAACACTTTGGTGTGAAATTGTACATAGTTGGATTGATAGAAGTCATATTTACTGAAACATTTTTGATTTTTCAAGATAGCAACAATGATTGTCGTTGAAAATTAATCTTTGTACTAAAATTGGTAACTACATGAATGTTCAACAGCGTCTTATAGGGCTTTCATAAATAAAAGAATAAAACAAAAAGGAGTAAATTTCAACCAAAAAAAAAACTCTCACATTTTAATATTCATTTCAGAAACTTTATAGAAAAAATAAGGAAATTGCAGTTTGAAAAGTTGAAAATTTGCTAGAAAGAAATCGAGAAATTTTCAGAATAATCTAGAAATTTTACAGAAAAAACATGGAAGTTTCTGAGTTTGAAAAGTTTACAATTTTTTGACTTTTGAAATGTATAAATTTCCACCTTTTGCTTGAAAATTTCTGAAATTACTTTAAATTTTTATTTATTTTCTAGCCAAGTTTTGAACTGAAATGTCCATAGTTTTTCTAGACAGCAGGACACACACACACACACACACACACACACACACACACACACACACACACACACATAAATTTTGAGATTAGTCTCAAAACATCTGAGTATTTTGGCAAGTTACAAATCACTCCAATGGCCCTAATTTGCTGTCGTATGAATGTTTTTGACATCATATCATAGCCTATCAATTTTGAACCATATAAACTATATGTAATTTCTAGATTTTATGTTTAATTTATCAGGTGGAGATCAAATCAAAATGGCCACCAGGGTTGCAATGGAAAATACATGTTAGCACTCAAATCAGCAGTAGCTATTAGCCACTGCTAGCCAAAAAGTTAGGTTCACTAACCATTAATTCGCTAAACAAGAATATGCTAACGCTAAACACAGGAAAATGTAGCGGAGTGGACGGAAAATTGTCATTATTGCACAACACTGGAGTAATGTTCCACAGGTGAGCCACAAGGGGGCAGCAGACAGGCGATGCGTTCTGTTCACCAGCTGTGGTTTTGTGTTACCAACCTGAGGAGTTGCTGATGGTGAACGTTTGGTTGAGCAGCACCAACATCCTCGCTGAGAGACACACAGGAAGCAACAATTAGCCTTCAGCCTCAAACGGGACGGTTCTGATCCAGTTCAGTTCTCACCCTGGAACCAGAGAGGAAGCTACCTGTCAGGTTGGTGGACAGCAGGATCAACGTCTCACAGGTCAGTTCTAACGAGGAAACTTGTCCACTCAGCAGGAAACACACGCAGATCACCTGAAAATATGAACACAACAACATGAGAGCTAACCAGGTCAGGAAACAGAAACCGTCCTGATGCATCAGTTTCCCTCAAAACGCAAAACAAAACAAGGAGCTCCAGGTCCAGACAGCTGGACGGAACCGAACCAACAGCGGTCAGTAAGACGATAACAGTACATGTGAGATTTTGGATGGTAAACATCCAAAATCTCTTTTGCAGTTTTTCTGTGACATAGCAAAAAAAACCCCAAAAACCCTTTTGTATTAAAACAAGATAGTTGTGCACGTTTGAGTTGTTCTTAAAAAACACGAGGGGTAAATACTTTTTAACATCAAACTAATATTCTGTTGAAACACACCAGTTTGTTTTTACTTTTATTTACACTTTGTATCTGACTTCAGACTGTCTTTCGTTGGCCAAAATTAGTTTTTTTAAATATATATATATATATATATATATATATATATATATATATATATATATATATATATATATATTTTTATTGATGTGTATGTGTGATTTTTGTATATTTTTACATGTAGGTATATTTTTTATCCTGGTGGCTGTAAAGGAAAGTACAAAAAAAAAAAAAAACGCTTATTGGATCAAATCCAACAAAAAAGCAAAATGTGAAATATTGTTTGATTTGTTGATATAATTTTTTTTAAATATGCCTCATGCCTACTGAATGAAAACAGGGACAGATATTATGTAATTTCCCTTTGGGATCACTGAAGTATTTTTGAATTGAATTTGTTTGAAGTAAAACACAAACTCTCACCCAGTATTTTTGTCTAGTTCAGTCAAATATTCTAGTAAACTTAAAATAAGATAAATCTAACTTAAATGTAACTTTTCAATGAGCTATAGGAGCTTGCTTTAAGTAAATAAGTACTTAATATTGATTTTTAAAAATAGTTTCACCACTGGCAGATAAAGGAAAAATGTTAAAATGTTTTTTCTGTTTCACTATTCTAAACAATAAAAACATTTAACAAACATGTTAAATTGTTATTTAGTGGAACTCGTACTTATAATAATATTTACTTTATTAACTTTATTTACTTATTTGCATGGTGTCCGTGACGTCACATAACCAGTCGACACGTTCAGTGGTCACGTGACAGGAGCAGAACCGCTGAATCAGCAGCTCGAGGAAGGAGATGAGTGAGAAGCTCAACAACGGCCTCCCTGATTGGATCAATCTGTCACCAATTAGCAGATGATTGATGATCAATCAGCCGCTGCTGGTTATTAACTGACGACTAAATCGTTCACGCAGCAGGACACCCACAGACCCACTCCCTCTGCCTCTCCCACTCCCCGAGCCGAACCGAGCCGAACCCAACCCAGTGATCTACCCAGAGATTTACTGCCGTGACTCTGCAGCTAAAATTAGCTCGCTGAGCTCGGAGAAGCGATCCGTCTTCTGGACGTAAATTTTGTGTTGGCAGCAGCTCAGAGGGACGAGCTGCAGCTGCTTCTTAGGAGGACCAGGTAGCTCTGACAAATCAGAGGGACTCAGCCATCAACACGAATAAGAAGTAGGAAAAACGGACTATTTTAGACCAGCTGGACTGAAACTGGACCCTATGACATCACATTTCTGCATCAAGTGAAAAAGTTTTAGAAATAACTGAAGATCTGAAGCTTTGTGTGCCTCCACGACCATAATTCATTAACAAATTAAGACAAAACTATGATTTTTAAATCAAAATCTACTTACAAAAATGTTAAATGCAGCGCAAAGTGATGATCTTTACCAAGCTTTCTGGTTTCCTTCTAACTTCATGGTATAAAACCAAATCTGACTTATTCTTTAAAATACAACAAATCTGCTTTAAATTGTTGTATTAAAAGTTTTATAAATGCAGCAAATGTTTTCAAATGAAGGCTGACCTAGAACCTGTTTTCATTAATGAGGATAGACAAAATATTTTTCCAGTTCTCCCAAAATAAAATGTGCCAAAAATATTTGAAATTTTGGATAAATGATACTGATCCTACAAAAAAATCAGATAACTTTGTTTAATTAATATACTTCATACTTACATTATTACTGAGTTGTTTTGTTGATTTCAGTTATTAAAATAGTTTTTTGTCCCACTGAAGATTTTGGACCAAAAACACGTTTGATCTAAAACTTCAACGCTGCATGTAACTAAATATTTAGTTAGAAAAATGCAGAAACTGTGAAGGTGATTGGTCAGATTTACGGAAAAGTTGCAAAAACTGTTGACAATTGCTGAAAGTCTGATTGTCACAACTCCCTGTTAGAACTTGAAAGCATCTGAATCCGACATTAAATTTCAAATTTCTGATTGTTGCTGAGGAATCTAGTGATGAACCGATTCAGAGAATTCTGGGTAATCAATGACCAGTGGGAGGAGCCTCAGAGCAGCTGCTGTTCTGAACCTGCAGCTGCTAACTGGACCAGAACCACAGAGCTGCTTCCAGCATCTTTCTGACCCACTAACATTTAGACTGCAGAACAGCTGCAGAACCGTCCACCATCAGCCTGCAGGCGTTTTACTGCGACTCGGATCAGTTTGGGGTCTGGATGTTTCAAAGCAACACAAAGATCTTCATGAACCGGTGTTTGAACTGTTCCAGTTCTCTCTGAGAGGAACTCAGTTAAGAGGATGATTATAAGATGAGCTGCTGCTCCCAGATAATTACTGATGAACTTAGTGAAGTGTGGAAACAGAGAGCATCTGCAACGCCGACTGCTTTGAAGACCAGATGATCTGGTGGGGTTTTGTTGGGCATCGCTGTGATAGCAGCTGTTAGGGATGGAGGCGGTCTCAGAGGACAGAAACTAACTCACACATTGGTAAAACCTGCAGAGAGCCGTCCAGCTGGCGCTAGCAGATGTTTTCTTCATGTTCCCTCCATGGAGATCAGCTGATCTGACGAGAAGAAACGGATCAGAGTTTCTGCTGAGCGACTCTAAGAGGAGGGCAGGAAGGAGTTTAACTCTTCCAGAGGAAACAGAAACATGTAGGAGCGGCAGATGCAGGGAGGAGCTGCAAAGGTGGCAGCCGGCTGCAGCTCAAAATGACGCAGGGCAGTGAGTCCAACACACAGTTCAACCGGGGACAACAATTGTTACATTTTCAGCTGCGTTGTGTCCAACAAACCAAAACATTTGAGCAATCTGTTCCCCTCCTCACCTGTGGGGGCGCTGCACCAAGAACCACTAAAGGAAACGACACAAACGTCTGAAGAAGACATGAGTGAAACTTCCTTCTTCATGAAACGAAAACAAAAATGTAGTAGCATCAGATTTTAGCAGTCAGGGATTTCTGATTAGTCATTTCTCCTCCGTGTTTGTTTTGATTATATTTACCCAGAATGCACTGCGGTGTGGTCCACTTTCTGCCTTGTGAAATTTATACGAAACTATAACTTTACAAGATGCTCAGTATTCCTCATTTAAATTTGTTATTTTTCTCATAAAAATCTAATAAAATTATGACTCTATTCTCCTAATATTACCACTGAGCCTGGACCAAATATTCCATCGTAGAGAAAAAAACGAATAAAAATGTTAAGACGAAAGTCAAACATTTTCAGGAAATTTTTTTTGAAAATTTCTGAGATCAAGACATCAACAATTTTCAACTTTACTATCTCAGAAAATGTCCAAGTTTTTTCTAGAACAATTCTTAGATTTATCCGTTTCTCGCAAGGTTTCGAGTTTAACTGAGAGATGAATATTTAGTTTCTGAAAATAAATATTTACAGCCAGATTTAGTTATTTGACGCTAACTATCTATCTTGCAACCTGAATATTTCTTTAGCCAGCTAAATATTTAGCTAACTATTTACTTTGGAAAATATTTATTAGACTTTTAGTTGGGAACTAAATATTTAACTTCCTCACTAAATTTGAATGCTAAATATTTCGTTTGTCAATGAAATATTTAGTTTGGAACTAAACATGGTGAAAATATGACTTACCTAAAAATAAAGACATCATTTTTTTTCCTCTGACAAGCTAAACAAAGCAAACCTTGCTGTTATTTTTATTTTTTTTGCTGTAATTTTACAAGAGTTATTTCGCTCTGCTCATAATCCATAGAAACAAGTTTTATTTTGAAAATCTAGGCTTCCATCTCCTTTTATTTCTAAAAGATGGATCTGCAGGCTGCAGACGTGCTGAGCTCACAGCTACTCCCAGCAGCTTCATCCCAACACCAGGAAGCTGTTTCCATCACCTTCCAGTCGGCGCCACTTCCTGCCGTCAACAGGAAACCAAAGGAAGGCGGCTTCCTCCTGGCAAACAGAAACCAAGCTGAGCAGAAAGACGACTAACCCAGACCCGGGGGTTCTGCTGCAGAGGACTGGGCCCTGAACACATTAATGCGACATCTATTAGTGCATCCATGAATGCAGACGCTGCTGCAGCTCCTGTGGAGCTGAAGGTTTAACCAGCAATAACATTTAAACACTCCCACAGCGGCTCAGTGTGCGTCAGAGACAATTAAACACCAAGACGCCACCGATCATTATTCAACCCAGCAAGACGACTGAGAACTTTTAATTCACAGCAGTGAAAGCTCCGATCCACCCAAAAACCTGCATCTCGATTAGATTAAAGTGAACAGTGTGGAGACAGCTCCAAAAGCAGGAAGTTAACTATACTGCAGGGAATTCTGGGTAAATATAACCAAAACAAACACGCTATTCCCTCACTGGCAGGAGAAATGGCAAAAAAAAAAAAAAAAAAAGTCCCCCAACTGCTAAAATATGACACTGCTCTACTATGGGGGAATTATTGTTTACTTTTTGTTAAGAAGGAAGTTGCGCTCAGTGTCTTCTTCAGAGGTTAAAGTGTAATTTCCCTCAGTCCTTCTTGAAGTAGAGCCCCTAGAGGCGAAGAGGGGAATAAATGCAGTAATTAAGCAAATCACACCAGCTGAAAATGCATCAAATGTTGCAATGTTGGTGCCCAATCAAACCGAGCCTGCTGGACAATCAGGTGTGAAAAACATCCTTAAATAAATCCTAA